GTTGATTGGGTTTTTTTTTTTTTTTTTTGGTGTTTAGCTTTTTGAGTTCTTTGTATACTCTAGAGATTAGAGCTCTATCTGATGTGTAAAAATTTGTTCCCAGGATGTAGGCTTCCTATTCACCTCACATATTATCTCTCTTGCTGAGAAAAAACTTTTTAGTTTGAATTCATCCCATTTGTTGATTCTTGGTTTCAATTCTTGTGCTACAGGTGTCTTATTAAGGAAATTGGGGCCTATCCCCACATAATGGAGATTAGGGCCTACTTTTTCTTCTATTAGATGCAGAGTCTCTGGTTTAATTCCTAGATCCTTGATTCTTTCTGAGTTAACTTTTGTGCATGGTGAGAGATAGGGACTCAATTTCATTTTGTTGCCTATATACACAATGGAATATTATTTAGCACTAAAAAATAATAAGATCATGGCATTTGCAGGGAAATGGGTGGCATTATAGCAGATTATGCTAAGTTAGCCAATCTCTAAAAAACAAATGCCGAATGTCTTCCCTGTTATAAGGGGGTGGGTGACTCATAATGGGGAAGAGAGGAAGAGCATAGGAAGATTACCTCAACATAGGAAGAGAGGTGGGAGGGAAAGGGAAGGAGAAATGGAATTACATGGATGGTGGAAGGAGACCCTCATTGTTATACAAAATACATGAATGAAGATGTGAGAAAAAAAGAAAAAAGAAAAAGAATAGCACTACCCTAGATTAGGTAGAGAGAAGTGATGGAAGGGCAAGGGAGGGGTTGGGGAGATAGGAAGGATAGTAGAATGAAACAGACATTATTATTATTGTGTGTATATATGTGAATGCATGACCAATGTGATTCTGCAACCTGTACACTCAGAAAAATGAGATATTATATCCCATCTGATTCAAATGTGAGATATGTCAAGGTCATTATACTGTCATGTGTAACTAAGTAAAACAAATAAAAATAAATAAACAACACTATATAAATCAAATGGACCTAATGGATATCTATGAAATATTCCACCCACAATCAGCTAAATTTACCTTCTTCTTGGCTGTGCATGGAACTTTTTCCAAAGTAGATCGTAATCTAGGCCACAAAGAAAATCTTAGCAAATACCAGAAATTCAGTGCAATCCCATGCATTCTATCAGATCACAATGGAATGAAGCTAGAAATCAACAGAAAAAAAGAAACCACATAAACATGTGGAGATTGAACAATTGTCTCTTAAATGAAGAATGGACTAAAAAAGAGATAAGAATAGAAAGCAAGAAATTTTTAGAAATGAACAATAATAGAGATATAGCATATCAAAATCTCTGGGACATTAGAAAGCAGTTCTAGTGGATAATTTCTAGCACTGAATTAGAGAGATCTCAAATAAATAAGCTTATGCTTCACCTCAAAGGCTTAGAAAAGAAGACAGGAAATAATTAAGATCAGCATCAAAATCAATGCAGTTGAGAAGAAGAGAAGGCCTGTGATTAAATCCAATATCCATTCATGTTAAAAATGCTGGAGAAGCTAGGGATCAAAGAACTTACCTTACCACTGTAAAGGCCATTCATGACAAACCCAAAGCCAACATAATAGTAAATGGAGAAAAACTAAAAGAATCTCTTCCAAATTCAGGAACAAGATAAGGCTGTCACTCTTACCAGTCCTATTCAATATAGTCATTGAAACATTAGCTAGAGCAATCAGGCAAGAAAAGGAAATCAAATGGCTACAAATAGAAAAAGAAGTCAAAATGTCTCTGTTGGCTGACAATATGATCCTGTATCTGGAAGACCCAAAAACTCTACTGGAAGAGTTCTAGAGCTCATAAATGAGTTTAACAACGTAGCAGGATACAAGATCAACACCCATAAATCAATAGCTTCCCTATACTCTAACAGTGATTCAGCAGAGGAAGAAATCTGGAAAATCATACCATTCACAATAACCTCAAGACAAAAATTTAATACCTGGGAATTACTCTTAACAAAAGAGGTAAAATAACTCTAAAGTGAAAATTATACAACACTGAAGAAAAATTGAAGAAGATCTTAGAAAATGAAAAGACATCACATGTTCTTTGATAGGCAGAATTAATATTGTCAAAATGGCTATACTACCAAAAGCCATTACAGAGTCAATGCAATCCACATTGAAATACCAATGACATTCTTCACAGAATTAGGAAAAATAATTCTTAAATTCATTTGGAATAGTAAGAGACCCAGAATAATCAATGAAAGAGTAAGCAAGGAAAGTGAAGCAGGAGGCATCACAATGCCTGATCTGAAGTTATACTATACAGCTGTAGTAACAAAAACAGCATGGTATTGACAACAAACTAGACACAAAGAGCAATGGAATAGAAGATACAGAGACCAATCCACATACTTAAAGTTGTCTAATATTTGACAAAGGTGCTAAAAATCTATCTTGGAGAAAAAACAGCCTTTTATATTAAAGGTACTGGGAAAACTGGATAGCTATGTGTAGAAAAATGAAATTAGACCCCTAACTCACCTGCACAAAACACAAATCAAAATGGATCAAAGACTTAAGAATCATATCAGAAACTTTACAACGGCTACAAGAAATACAGCACCAACACTCCATCATATAGGTGCTGGCACTGACTTACTTAACATGATCCCTAAAGCACAAGCAATAAAACCAAGAGTCGATAAGGGGGATGCTATTGAACTAAAAAGCTTCTGCACAACAAAGGAAATGATTAAGGGCATGAAGAGATAGCCTACAGAATAGGAGAAAATTTTGGCCAGCTACTCCTGTTATAAGGAATTAATATCCAGAATATATAAAGAACTCAAAAAAATGTATCACCCCTCCTCAATAACCCAATCAATAACTGGGCAAAAGAACTAAACAGAAATTTCTCAGAAGAAGAAACACAATGGCCAAAAAATATATGAAAAAATGTTCAACATCTGTAGTAACCAGGAAAATGCAAATCACAAACTACCCTAAGATTTCATCTCACTACAATTAGAATGGCAATGATCAAGCATATGAACAACAGTAAATGCTAATGAGGCTGTAGGGGAAAAGTTCCACTTGTACATTGTTAGTAGATTGCAGAATAGTAAAACCACTCTGGAAAGCAGTATGAAGATTCTTCGAGAAACTAGTGATGGAACTGCCATATGACCCAGCTCTCACTCCTTGGCATTTTCTCAAAAGATCTAAAATCAGCATTCTACTGCTACACAGCCATATCAAGGTTTATAGCACAACACAGCCACATCACAATAGATAAACTATTCAGTCAATCCAGATGCCCATCAATAGATAAATGGATTACAAAATTGTGACACACACACACACACACACACACACACACACACAATGGAGTTCAAGCCATAAGAAAGAATGCAATTATGGCATTTGCCAGATGGAAATGAAGAATCATGCTAAGTGAAATGAGCCAAACTCAGAAATTTAAAGACCAAATGTTTCCCCTCATACGTGGAAGCTAGAGTGAAATACAGGAAATGGGGAGGAAAGCATAGTATAACATAAAGAATCAAATACAAATTATTAAAAGACGAGTGAAAGGCGATCTAGTAGTTAGGAGAATGAGATAGGAGAGGGAGGGCAGGGTGGAAAATGGGGAGAGAAAAGGGGAGGAAGTCATGGATTGAAATAGATTTCCATGAATGTGTGTTTATTGGAATGAACCTGAGTACTATGTATAAAGCTCTAATAAAAAATAAAAAAATGTTGAGTCTTTTATATATGTCACTCACTTTTCTATATATTGCAGCAAATAAAACAACTTACCTTCCATTGTGGGAAGAGATAAGAATATTTATTCTTTCCCTTTCATGTTTTAGCTTTATTCAGCTACATTTTTTTATTGTAAATATATGTAAAAAGTCGCCATTTTAATTATTTAGGTATATAATTCAGTAACAGTTAGTACATTTACTATGTTGTTGCTATTTAATTTTGGAACATTGTTCATCACACCAAAAGGAAACCTTTACCTATTAAACAGTTACGTCTCAGAATATGTCATGTCATCCTCTGGCAACCACTAATCTGCTTTCTATCTCTATGGATTTACATATTTTGGATAAATTCGATCATACAATATGTGACTCTTTTGTCCAGCATCTTCAATTTAGCATAATGGCAGCTGAGAGCATGAAAAGTATATTCCAAAGACACAAAGAGACATAAAGATTTTGTTCTGGAATTATGAATTTTATAATAATAATATTATTATTTTGTTATTTACTGCCCAGGGCAGTTTACCTTTAATAATCTCTTGATTCCTCAGATTTAGAAAAATCTTGGAAGACTGCTAGGTAGAAAACTAAGATGAAAGGAACCTGTCCTCTTCTTTTCAAAAGTAAAATCCCAAATATAATGTCCAACTATTGTGATAAGCAAATACCCTGCTGTGTCTTATAATTGCTGTGGTAATGTTTAATAAATAGTTCTGAATAAACAGATTATAAAATAATCTTATATGTTGTTTTTCTTTTTTTTTCTAGACAGAATTACTTCTTCTGGACTTACCTTCTCTTTATCTAGAGATTCATATTGTGCTGGATAAAGCTTTGGTATGTGTTCTGCTTTTTCTTTGCTTTTAAATATTTGATGTGAAGCTATGATTAGCCTTAGCTAGGGGGCGATTAAAAGATTCCCAGTCTTACTTGCCTGTCACAGATAGAATAGTATAAAAATGTGCAGACTGAAAAATCATATTGTCAACATCGCTCTAGTTTTATCAGCAATGCTTTATTTTAAATCTTTTTATTTTATTTTATTTTTTTATTGGTTGTTCAAAACCTATTTTAAATCTTTAAATAACAATATTGCAAAGTCAGTTTTTCCACAATTTTTAGGGCCTCCTTTAAAACACACTATTTTTTTTAATGGTGACATTTGGTCAAAGTGGGTTGAGGTCCTTTTTGAGGGAAGTCTTTAAGAGCAGTATTAAGTGCAGAGAATGGTTTCGCTCTATAAAATATTTACTGAGACAAGAGTGAGGATAATCTAACTATTGATCCTTGATTACCATAAACAATTTGAGGATCTGTTAAACTTCAAAACCAGGGAGTATAACTTAGTTTGTAGTCAAGTAAATATGGTTTTCTTTCTTCTAATCTTTAAAGAATTCAGAAAATAGGAATAAAAATGGGCTTTCCTGTGTTTAATTCAATGATAGCTTTTGGTTACCACACTTGGAAGCAACATGAGTGCCAATTCCATGCTGAGGACTGCAGGGTTTGTCAGGAAGCACTGAGGTCAGGACAGGGAGTATTTGGAGAAGGATATGACAATATTTGATTTATTAGTGCTGGGAAAAGGAAAAGGAAACATTTAGAATCAAGTTATTGTGATACTTAAGAGAAAATAAGATAGTTCTAATAAACATGACAAGTTTCTAGGAAATATTGTGCATTCTGGAAATTGTTTTGTTTCAGGCTTATAAAATTTTGAGGGTTACTTTAAAAGCTTCTTGATCAAATTACTAGTTTTTCAACCATACTATGCTGACTAAACATTCCCTTTTCTATGTTCTTAGACATATTTTCAAATTCTTTAATTAAAAAAGCATTGAGTCAGCTATGAAATCTGTGTTACCAGATGTTGGCATACAGAGAATAATACTGATAATTTCTTCAGTAACTTCATAAATTGTAAATCTACAATTTTAGCATAGAGAATTCCATTTTATAACTGAGGGAAGCATATGGTATCATAAAAACACAGGTTGGTTAATGGGAACAGATACGAAAATATCCAACTTTAACTTGGGATATTGTAAGAAAGTGGGTGTTTTAAAATGTGGGATTTATTATTATGCAGTTGTGTTGAGGCCAACAGATCAGAAAATGATTGCTGTTGAAAGAAAGTTTATCAATCATAGTTCCCAAGAGAAGGGAACACTCTTTGAAATGCAAGGGCCACAGCCACCAAGATCTGTCAGGAGACTGGGATCAAGGGGGGCATCTGGACAAAACCCTTTATTGTGGATTCTGCAAGAACAGACAAGGCATCCCATGCAAAGTTGATTGGCTAATTTGAATAATTTCAGTGGGCTCTGGAGTGTAGTGGCTGTCCGTAGTTGTCTACCTTGCCCTGGGCAGGAGAACAGTGTCTCAGAGTGTGAGGTTCTGTTAGAGAAAGTGATTGGGCTCTGGACTGACTATTTTGCATTCAAAAGGTGTACTGTTTGAGTCAGGTTTTTTGTTGCTGTGACTAAAGGATCCAACCATAACAATTGTGAGGGAGGAAATGTTTATTTAAAGGCTCACAGTTTCAGAAATCTTAGTCCATAGAAGGCTGGCTTCATTCCTCAGGGCTCAAGGTGAGGCAGGGCATCATGGTGGAGCGTGTGGCAGAGGGAAGCAGCTCATGTGGTGATCAGGAAGCAGAAGGGTATCCAAATACAAATATATACCCCAAAACCACACCCACAATGACCCACTTCTTCCAGCACACCCATCTGCCTCCCTTTCCCACTCAGTTAATCCCATCAGGGATTAATTCACTGATGAGGTTTAGGCTATACCCCAATCATTTCTCCTCTGAACCTTCTTGCATTGTCTCACATGTGAACTTCAGGAGACACCTCACATCTAAACCATAACATATACTCTGAGGCAAGTCATTTGCTAGCTCTGGGAATCGGTCAGCTCAGGATCAGCAAGTCCCCAAGATGTCAAAGTTTAATAAATATGTCATTTTAGTATAGTTACATTAATACATTAATACTGTCATATTAATACAGGGGGACACATAATGAATACCACAAATAGGTAATAGGTGGAAGGTGGGGTCATGGACATTGTGCTAAACCTTCCCATGCAAGTGTTAGAAAAGTTTCTATCATTAAAACACAAAATTAAGAGGCATGTGGAAATGGGTGAATTAAACAATTGATAGAATATTTGGATTATATCTGAAAGGTAATGGAGAATCATTTACAATCTTTAAGCAGGGGAGTGAAAGATTCATTTTCATCTTAGACTCTTCATTTGGCATTAGCATAGAGGTAGATTGCTGGTTGGAAAATTGGAGGGGTAATAATCTAACAGATTATTCCAGTAATCAAGTTAAAAATTTATACATTGATATTAATGGGAATAGAAATAAAGGGAGACCTTTAAAATTTATGAATTTGAATTAGAAAGCCATGTAAGTTTTTGATGTATTAATTTACTTAACAAATTTACTGAATATCATCTAGATACCAGTTCCTTTTCTAGCTATTAAGGATATAGAAGTGAACACATCAGAAATATTTGTTCTCCTGGAGCATGTCCATAATAAATGTGAGATGTAATAGATGATAATACCACTAAAGGGGTGCAAATATAAGGTAGGACAGATTTTTGAGGGAAGATGATGAGTTGAGTTTAGTTTTGAATTTGATGGTTTTGTAACATTCAAGGCATGGTATAGATGTACAGATGAGGTATAGATATATGGAGTTTGACATAGTCACAATCCAGAGTCAACACATATATACACACTCATTTATCTATTCATGTATATGTGTGTGTGTGTGTGTGTGTGTGGTTTTATGCAAAAGTGTCATATTGGTAGTCTTATGTAAACCACTACCACACTCAAGATACTCACAATAATATCATTATAAGACTCTTTACAGACACACTCATACCTTCTGTCTCTCCTTAACCCTTGGCAAACACTAAGCTGTTGTTCTTTACAATTTCACAAATTGCATAAAACACAGTTTGTTTTTTATTGAGATTTAATTCAGCATAATTTTCTTTAGGTTTATCTAAGTTGTCTTATATATCAACAGTTCAGTTTTCTTTTTATTGCTGAGTAATAGTTCATGGAATGAAAGTACTACTTTGTTTATGCTACTTTGTTTAACCATTTGAGCAGTGAAGAACATACTCATTATTTTCAGTTTTTGGCTATTATGAATAAAGCAGTTAGGGACATTCACATATAGGTATAAATGTGAGCATTGGGTTTCTTTTCTTTGGGATGAATGCCCAGGAATGTAATTGATGAGTTATATAGTAAGTCCATTATTTGTTTTGAAAGAACTTGCCAAACTATTTTTCAGAATGGCTGTACCATTTTACATTTCTATCAACAATATGATTATCCCATTTATGTTTATGTCTTATTTTGAAATTAGAGCCCCAAATCTGCCTCAGCTTTCTGTTAGTAGGAGGAGAGTAAATCTCAAAAACATTATATAATGAATTGTGTTTAAATATAAAATTAATTCTATCTTTCAGTATGATTACTTGGGCTCTGATAGCACGATAGTAACAAATAAAATCTTTGAAATTATCAGCCTTGTAAATTCGGTAAGTATTTTTATTTTCATATCAAAGAATTTTTTTGTCTTGAAATTTTCATTCATGGGGGCGGGGGTTGTGGCTCAGTCAGTGGTAGAGTACTTGCCTAGCATATGTGAGGCACTGGGTTCGATCCTCAGAACCACATAAAAATAATTAAAATAAAGGTATTGTGTTCATCTACAACTAAAAAAATATTTAAAATTTTTTTTCATTCATGTTAACTTGATGTATTTCTGGGTAATTAAATCATCCATTTAAATTGAGTATGGATTTGTAAAAATATTGAAAGAATTTCTTGTTATAAATTAACATAAAGATTAATTTTCATATATTTATTTCTTCTGCTTTAGGCATTTACTCAATTGAAAGTTACTATTGTGCTGACATCATTGGAGTTGTGGTCAGATAAAAATAAGATTTCTACAGTTGGCAAAGCAGATGAATTATTGCGTAGATTTTTAGAATGGATGCGGTCTTATCTTACCTTAAGGCCTCATGATGCTGCATATCTATTCATGTAAGGATGATGTTTCAGTATTCCTAGAAGAAAAGGAATATCTGTGATTGTGATGTAGCTTAACTGAGGGACTTGGTATTCATTTCTGACTACTCAGACTTTCATTATTCATTATGTGATCTCTTTCTGTTTGTCAAGCAGCAAAAAAGATTACTAGCATTTATTTCTGAGCATATCAAATTAAGATAAGATTTAAAGAGGTTAAGCTATCTCAGGACTCTCACCCAGTGGGTATATCTAGGTTTTGAACTTAGTTTGTAACTCCAGTGCCCAAACAGCCACTACATTAAGAGATGGGAGTTGTAAGTTTATATCTTGATATAAACTGATCAAAAGTTGGAAAAATAGGTTACAAATATTTTTTTTCTAATAAATTTTTTGCATTATTTTAAAGTTGGCACTTTAACATTTCCTTTTGCATGCATAAGATTCATCTTTCCCTCATGTATCAGTCGGCAATAAATGTTGTTACTCCTTTAATTTTTGGTCATCTGAAGAACATAAAGTAATGCCATTACATAACATCTTAGTTTCCTTTTTTTCTGATGACTAGTGGATTTCAACATCTTTCATGTGCTTCTTGATCACTTGCCTTGTTCTTTTGTAATTGCCTTTTCATGCCATTTGAGTGTTTCTTTATAATTTGTGAGGATGTTTTGAATGTTTAGATATCAAACTTTTGTTTATGAGCATGACAGATAATTTCGTATATCTATAATAATTTTGCTCCAGTATTACTTTTACATTTCATATGGTTAACATTGCTAATATTTTATTTTTTTAAATTTGGGTTTTCTGTATGATGGAAAAGCTCTCTCCATGTTCTAGATTTTAGTCTGCTATTTTTTTAGAATTAATAATATTGAAGTTTATAATTTAAGTCTTTAATCCAAATTCATCTATTTTTTGAAAGTACAAAATAGAGGTGCACTTTTGTTTTCTGTCATATGACAGAAGGCATTGCCTGTGTGTGTCTATGTGTTGGAGTGTTGATCCTATGTTTTCTTCTAGCAGTTGTAAAATTTTGGGTTTGATTCCTAGGTCTTTGATCTATTTTGATGTTACTCATATTTGAATGAGTTGATTGTTCTGTGCCCATGCCAACTCTCCACAAAATGATCGTGTCAAGGGGTGAGTGTAGAGGGAACAGGGTAACTTCCCAGGTTTGTCTGTTTTAAGGCTTTGTCTTTTGTTCTTTCTGTGTTGAATGTTCTTCAAAGTATGCTTCCATTGCTTGCTAGTATTTTTTTAAAACTCTCTATGCCTGTACTAATACTTTCACTCATTCAGCCCATGACTAACTTCTTTCAAGTACATACCTCTTGCCTTCCAATGTGATCTTCTTGGAAATTTTATTTTTGTTGGAGTTGTCTGATATTTGCAATAACTGAAACTTTCTTTCTACTTTCCATGTCTTCTTTTTTTCTGCTTCCTTTTTGTTGATTTGAATACTTTTATAGTTTAAGCATAATATTTGTAACATTGAAATACCATTTAATTAATCTCATTATTAATTTAAATTTTCCTTTCAAATGTCTAATTTCTTTCCTTTTCTCTATTTTCTTATATTATTAGTATATAAATACTAATAATTTCAGCCTATATTATATTACTCCTCATCCACGTTCCTCCTGGGTTAATACAATTATAGAGATCATTAGTAATTACATACATAATATATGTTGATATAGGATTACTTTTAAATTACTACTGCTAATTTCAGCACTCTCTTCATTCAAAGAGGTATTGGGGGTTGGAAGTAACACTTGGATTATGTTGAGTCTACATGTTGAAGCAAGGTATACTGAAAGCATAGGATTTATTAGGAAAAGGTTAAAAACTTACCAAAGACTCACTCATAAAAGAGGAAGAAGAGGCAAACAAGGCTCCATCTACAATTTACAATCCTCAACCTAGGGAGCTCACATAAAAGGAAAGGGATGAATTAAGAGGGAAAATACACGTACTTAACCACTGAGCCACATCCCCAGTCTGTTTTTATTTTGAGATAGGTTCTTGCTAAGGTGCTGAGAGACACATTAGTTGCTGGGGCTGGCTTTGAACTAAAGAGCCTCCTGCCTAAGCCTCCTGAGCAACTCTGATTATAGGTGTGCACCACTGTACCCAGCTGAAAGCCTATTTCAATGAAGAGATAAGAGATCCTGAGAAGAACTCAACCCAGAACTCCTGGAAATTAAAGATACAATAAATAAAAAAAATTCAGTTGAAAGTATCATTGACATTAGTTTATGTAGAATACAGAACTTCAGACCTCAAAGACAGTGTATATAAATTTGAACACTCATAAACTCTGTGTGTGTGTGTGTGTGTGTGTGTGTGAGAGAGAGAGAGAGAGAGAGAGAGAGAGAGAGAGAGAGAGAGAGAAAGGGTGAGAGATACCATGATTGACTATACGAGAACACTGGGACATAACAAAACAAAAAGTTATTGGAATTTAAGAGGACATGGAGATACAGGCTAATGGCATTGATTACATTTTTAATGAAATAATGAAAAATTTTAAAATTTTATTTATTTTTTAAATAAGAAAAATTTTCAAACCTTAGGAAAGAGACATCTACACACATGTGGCATATAAGAACCCAAATGGAAAAAAATAAAAGACAGAACCTTTTCAAGACATGTCAATAATCAAAATACCTAATAGAGAATAAGGATAGAATTTTAAAATCTACAAGAGAAAAATGTCAGGTCAGTTAGAAGTAAACCAGTAAGACTCACTTCTGACTTCTCAGCTCAGAGTCTAAAATCCAGCAGGGCTTAGCATGGAATAATTCAAGCTCTGAAAGAAAACAATTGCCATCCAAGATTGTTATATCTAGCAAAGCTATCAATCAGAATTGAAGAAGAAGTAAAAATCTTGCACAATAACTGTAAAGTAAAGGAATTCATGATCAGCAGGCCAGTACTACAGAAGAACTCAAAAAGCTAACCCAAGCTCCTGAATACACAAAGCTCATTTGAAGAGCCCAAACAGACAAAGGTCACTAGAAAAACAATAAGGCAAGTGAAAATTAAGACCAAATTAAATCTATGAAACTAACCAAATGACAGAAAGTAATAAATTCTTATCCATAATAATTCTCAACCTCCCAATTAAAAGTCATAGCCTTGCAGATTGGATTAAAAATAAGATCCAACTATGTGCTATTTACAAGAGGTTCATCCACAAGTTGAAAATAAAAGAATGGAAGAAGATATTCCATGCAAATGAATCAAGCAGGAGTAGATAAACAATTTAATGTTATATCTCAGGCCCCTGGAAAAGTAGGAACAAACTAGTTCCAAAACTAGTAGAAGACAGAAAATAACACTAGAGCTCTCTTTATTGAGAAGATAAACAAGATCAATAAACACTTAGCCAAACTTAACAGAGAGAAGACCCCAATCAACAAAATAAGTAGATGAAAATGGAGATATATGAAAAAGCAGATTTCAAGCAAAAATGAATCATTAGAGTCAAGAAGTTCTCTACATACTGATAAAGAGAACAATCAAAAAAAATATGATAGTAAAGATATATACCCCAAATGTCAGAGTAGCTAATTGCATAAAACAAACACTTCATCACATAAACTCTCAGGTGGACTCCAGTAAAATAATATTGGGTGATTTCAACTTACCTATCACCAAGAGACAAGTCATCCAGACATAAAGTCAGTAAATGATTCAGACCTAAGCATTACTATATATCAAATGGACTTAATTAAAAGCTGGGTTCACTTATTCTAAGAAGCACAGGAACCTTCTCCAAAATAGACCATATTTTAGTTCACAAAGCAAATCTTAGCAAATACAAGGAAATCAGCATAATTCCTTTCATCTTACCAGTTCACAGTGGAATGATGTTAGAAATAGACAGCAAGAAAAAAAATAATTGAGACCAAATACATAAGGAGATTGAACAATACTATTCTGGATGAGAAATGGATCATGGAAGAAATGAGAGGAGAAATCAGAATCAAAGAAGAATAGTGATACAACACACCAAAATCTCTGGGACACTCTGAAGGCAGTTCTCAGAGGAAAGTTGATAACTTTAAGTTCCTACAAATTTTAAAAAAGATCCCAAATAAACAATTGGATGTTATATCACTGGCCCCTAGAAAAGCAGGGTCAAACCAGTAGAAGACAGAAAATAGCACTAGACCTGTCCTTAATGAGAAGATAAACAAGATCAATAAACATTTAGCCAAACTTAACAAAGAGAAGACCCAGATCAACAAAATAAGAGATGAAAAGGAGAAATCACCACAGGCATTTCTGAAAACCAGAGGATCATTAGAGATTATTTTGGAAAATTTATATTCTAATAAACTTGAAAACTTAGATGATATTGACAAATTTCTAGACACAAGACTCATCTAAATTAAATCAAAAGACATAGAAAACCCAAACAGATCAATATTAATTAATGGGTGCCTTGGAAAGCTGGTTCCCAGGGGTGAATGTGGGTTGATGAGGCCACATAGCTGGTTTGCAAGCCAGGCCATCTGAACTGTTGGGGGTTACCACCCTGCTGTTTCACAGCTCCCCCCACCCCAACCCCCCGCAGGTGTGTGATGATACTGTGCAGTAGGAACCTCAGTGGGGGAGAGCACAATGTAGATAGACTGCTACGTTCTTTCTGTGGTACAGTGCGGGTATAGGGATTCCCCAGAAATACCCTAAAGTTGACTTGGAGACTTTGAAAGCTGTAGGTTTCTCCAGTATCAAATACTTCAGGTGTCCTTAGTATGACTGGGGACTGTTGGGGACTTTAATTGTACTTTTTCCTGCTGAGAGTAAAATCTCTTGACTCAGAATTGCCCTTGACTGGAGAGATGAAATGATAGATATTTTGCACTTAGCCACTTTTTAATGAGTGCATTGTGGGTCTCTGCTTGGCAACATCTCTGCCACATTCCCACTGCACTCTGCCAGAATATATTTGTGTTTTCTTTGTTTTGGGCTTTTTATTGTGGAGTGAAATATACCAAGTACCTGAACTTGGCCATCTGACTGACATCCCTATATGCATTAATTTTTGTGAGATTTGCACAAAAGGAATTTATTCCATTAGAAATATACAAAATATAGTACAATCATTCTGTTTGAACTTAGTACCACTTTTGAGATCTCAATATTATTTTACTGTAGAAACATTTCACAGATCTACAATTAGTAAGGTCCTAGAATAGATGATATGCAAGGAGAATGATTAGCAATAGTTTATTATGATCTCTGTTCTGCAAAAGCTTACAATCTGATTTGAGTAAATCCTGCAGTAGGCATAATGGATATAGTAAAATTAATGTTGGAAGATATAATTATCTTCCTGTTTACAATTTATAGGAGAGACGGGGAGGATTATAGAAAGATCAAATTTAATGCTAAGTGAAAGTTTGAAGGCAGAGTTGGGCCTGTTTAATTCAGTAGGTAGAGAAAGAAGGTGGAAAAGCATTCCAGGTTCTAAAAACAATGTGATTAGTGTCATGAAAAAAAATTATGTAGTTCTTTCAGAGTATGCAATTTATAGTTAGATATGGGGCCAAACCTCAGAAGGAGTGAAAGGAAACAAGAAACATTGAATAAGTGAAATAGTAGATCTTGATAACAGATTTGACATGGAGTGGGCACATCAAGGGGTGGCAGTATGAAGTAAAAATAAATATTACTGATCTCATAATAAGTGTGTATAGTTTTAGTGGAAATCTTAAGAAGAGATGGATTTGTTAAAGTATCTTTTGGAGGAACTACTTTGGATAAGAAAATGTAATAATTATACACTAAAATGCAAAACTAATGTTGGGTATTAGGAGTTAATACTTTGAAACAGTGTTGGGGGTGGGTGGGTAGATATAAATATCAGAGAGATGGAATAGAGGTTGTAATGGGATGATAAGGCAATTGAGAAGAGCAAATGAGGGAAAAGAATTGAGTATCAAGCTTCTTTACACACATCCTGTCATATTTAAGTGGGTGGAAACTCTAAAGATGTCAGAATATATGTGGAACATCTACATCTTAGTGGCTGAGAGTATGCCTCTGGACTTTTTAAGTTCAAATCTTTCAGTAGCACTTATTAGTCATGCCACCTGTAGAGAGTTACTTTTCCCATCAGTTGTTTAATGCAGATACAGATATTATCAATTTCAGTGGTTTGTTTTGAATGTTAAATGGAATAATTCATGTAAAGTACGTAGACTAATATCATATGATCATTACATGGATTCGTCCCCAAAACTGAAAAATTATGTTTAGCTGAGAAATAATATAGTCATTCCTGTGAGAAACTGTTGAACTTTTGTACAAGAGAGTGACACATTTTTATCCATACATTAAAACTTTTTGTCATTATCATTCAAGAAATTTTTAAAATACTATTTGAACCAGAGATTTAGTAATCTTAACCAGATGTGATGAGTATAGTAAAGATCTAAAAACCTATTATCTGTTACATATGTTTTTGAAATTAAGAGTATTTAGTCCAGTATATATTCAAATTTTAAAACAGTTAAGGACATATTGAAGGACTGTACTTCACTTCACTTTAGACTAGGATTTTATAAACTACAGAGTTAAGTAAGCAAGAAGATTCACATTTAACTCACTCATTAAAATTATAAATGTATATTTATTTATTTAGCTATAGAGATTATTCAAGTTATGTGGGAGCAACATTTCCTGGAAAGATGTGTGTTACTCCTTATTCTGCGGGAATTATACTGGTATGTAATAATTTAATCTTTTAAAAAATTAACACATTAAAAATTATCCAGAGTAATAGCATATTTTATATAGTTTACCTTTAGAAACTGCATTTCTTTTCTATCACTATTAAAACTTTGAAGTGTGTGGAGGGAAGAATATTTTGTAGAACAAGGATCATGTTGCAGTTAGCTATATTTGGAATTCAAAGTGCAAATAAAAATATCATAAATACACATGCATTCCTCAACATACAGGCAAGTGCATCATGAAAAAATATCCATCCATAAGGAGCTTTTTATAGCCCAAATAAATTTTTGCTTATAAACATAAAATTGGATAAACATTGCCATAGATAAAATAGTTTAAAAATCAAATGCAACAAATAAAAACTGAAATATGAATCATTTAAAATATTTCAGACAGTATTTAAAAGAAACTTCTATATGTATTTTAAATATTTATAGTATATTTAAATGTGTCTTATATACAAATCACTGGTGAAATCAAATGCATTATTGAAGGTCATCTAGTTCTCTTAGCCTTTTTCTTATATCACAAATTCTTTGGAAAACAAACAAATTTAAGTCCTACATATTTTTAAAAAGTATACACAGTTTTTATTAGCCATGCCAAATATGTTAAGTATATTTGGGAATGTATAACAAAATTTCTACCATCTGGCATTTTACTATCCCAGCAGAGGTAACCGTTATTAATATTTGAATGATATATATATCTTATTGTGTTTTCCTCTCTATATATTCTATTTTAAAAAGGAAATTGCAGCACAAATTTCTATTTCTGATGTTTATTTTTATGGATGTAATGCATGCACATGGTAATTAAAAGAAAAAACTAAGTATACAGAGCAAGAACTGGTAGTGAAGCTTTGTCCTTTATACCTTCCATGTAGTCCTATTTAAGAATTAAGAGGCTCCTGAAGATGGCAGATTAGAGGCACTTAGCAATGCTCCATGAGATTGAACCCCTCCCCCCAAACAGGTGTGCAGCTGCATGTTGAGGTAGGGGGGCTATAGGAAGGTGCTGGAGTGCAACTATATAGAGTGTCAGTGACCAGATGAAACCCAGAAATATGAGGTTTTAAGGTGAAGAGAGAGAGAGAGAGAGAGAGAGAGAGAGAGAGAGAGAGAGAGAGGGGTATCTCACCTGGAGAGAGATATCTCACTTGGTAGGGGAGGGGAAGATATAGAAGCCAAAGAGATGGGCATAATTGCATTTTGGTACTGATCCTGGGAGGACCACATTCATGGGCAGTGGATTATGCAAGATCTGTAGAGGGTTCCTTGCATCATTCTATGAGTGAAGTTCTCAGGGGAACCCTGGATCCAGATGCACAGCAGAGATCTCTCTTGAGCAGATATCACTCAACAAATTCCAAAGATCTGATTGGAACTAAACCCCAGCCACTAGAACTTCCATTTAGAATTCTGTATCAGCTCCACCGTGGTTTTTCCAGACAAAGCTTGACTGTACTTCCCATTTGATCATCCCACCTTATACTAGTGAAAAGGGAAGCTGAGAGCTATTACAACCAGCTTTGGTTCCAGGCCACTCCAGCTGGCAGCTTGGTGAACAACAAAAAAAGAGGAAGGGTTTAACAACCCCCAGCCCTCCCTCCATCTTAGGGGTACATGGTCCAAAAACAAGCAAAAGGGCCTGAACATTTATTCTTATTAACAGTTTTGACCACCTCAGCAGATATCATCCCTTCATTATTTCTGTGTTCTTGATGTGCTGATTGGTTTGTCACACAGACATACACACACACACACACACACACACACACACACACATAGAAACACAGAAACACACACAGAAAACAAAAAAATTACAAATAGGTGATAAAAGTGATAAAAATGAAATGTATATGCTGATAAATACATATCATATGTATTTTCACACACACACATATATGTGTATATATGCTGAAATGCTGATATTTTTTATCATTTTTCACCCATTTGTAATTTTACTTTGTTTTGTATTTGGGGGCTTAAGGCTTTTTGTTTGGTTTGGTTTGAGGTTTTTTTTGTAGGTTTTAATTTTCATTTATCTTCTTTCTTCTCCCTCTAATTGCCGAATTCTCTTGTTCTCCATTTTTCTCTTTATTTTGCTTCTTTTATGTTTCTCTTCTTTCTTTATAGCCATCACTTACTACCTCTCTTCTGTTTTCCCTCTGTTTACTTGTTGAGTATTTTAAACTTTTTTTTGCCTAACTAATCCATTTTCTTTTTAATGAACTGTAGTTGTACCATATTTTAGAACTATTTAGCTTATATAATTTCTGCCCCCACCATTCATGTCATTGTGACTTTTAGTATATAAATGGCATAGTTGTCATCTGCTGTTTACCTTGATGCTAGATCTAATTGTTGTTGTTAACTGTAGTAGGCAGTAGGCATTTATTTTAATACTGTGTATTGTTTATTGCTATTGTTGCTATTGTTTGTTTTCCCTTTTCTGGAAAATGACTCTGATACTCTGAGTTCACAAGGTAGAGACTCTGCTGTTGAGCTATACCTGAAGTCCAGCCAAGAGAGATCACACCTTTATACACACACCAAAAAAAACCCCACTTAAGCTTCAACAACACTTTTTTTTAAAAATCAGTACTTTAACATATAGAATAAGGTAGATAAAAACTTCAAAATGATAACCAGGCCCAAAGTTGGAATAGACATCTGCTCTTACAGCAAAAAGGTTTTAAAATACTTCAGAGGAACCCATAGTGTTGAAGCAATTCTCAAAGACTGAATTAAATCAGTAAATCTGCAGTGGCAATCTGAGAGACATTGGAGATTGAAATTAACACTTAAATTATGCTGAGTCTATGCATTAAAGCTAAAATAAATTGGAAACACAGGAATTATTACAAAAACAATGGCTACTTACTGAAGGACACTCTCATAAAAGAGGAACAGGAATCCAGCTCAACAGATGCACAAGTGTAAGACCCTAGAAAACATGAAGAAACAGGCAAATAATCCTTTCCTCCAAACATACAATCCCACAACAAAATAGCCAACAGATATGAAACAGGATAATTCAAGAAGAAAACTATAAAAATTGATTATTAGAATGATTAACAAACTAAAAGAAGATCTAAAAAAAATGAAAGAGAAAATACAGGGGTGAAAGACCATTTTAATAAAGAGAGATTCTGAAAAGAAGCCAGTCAATGAAAACTCCTGGGAATGAAAGACATAATAAATCAAATAAATTTTCAGTTGAAAGTATCATCAATAGATTAGATTATGTAGAAAACAGAACTTTAGGCCTTGAAGACAACGTATGTTCTTTTATGATTAGAACATAAAAGAACACTGGGACATAATTCAGAGTTTTTGGAATTCAAGTGGGAATGTAGACACGGGCTAATGGCATTAGGAATGTTTTCAGTGAAATAATAGCAGAAAAAAGTTCAAACTTTAGAAATAGATGGATATCCATGCACAGGAGGCATACAGAACTCCAAAGACAAAAACTGAAAAAAACAAAGAACTCTTTAAGACACATCATGATCAAAAGGCCTAATATAAAAGAGTATTAAAAGTATCAAGAGAAAAATGTCAGATCACATTTAGAGGTAAACCAATAAAGCCCAGTACTGACTTCTCAGACACTAAAATCCAGCCAAGCAAGATTACTATAACCAGCAAAGCTAAGAATTTCCTGGATAAGGATAAATTTAAAGAATTTATGCCCACTAAGCCAACATGATAGTAAATACTTAAAAAATAAAAACACACAGGCCAGGCCTGGTGGCACAAACCTGTAATCTCAGCAGTTTAGGAGACTGAGGCAGTAGGATCGTGATTTCACAGCCAGCCTCAGCAAAAGCGAGGCACTGAGCAACTCAGTGAGGCCCTGTCTCTAAATAAAATTAAAAAAGGACTGAGGATGTGGCTCAGTGGTTGAGTGCCACTGAGTTCAATCCCGGGTACCTCTCCACTCTCCCCCGACAAAAAAAAAAAAAAAATAGATAAAAAAAAGACACAAACCCCAGAGCTCCTGAATGGATGAAACTCAACAGAAGAGTAGTTAAGCAAATGGCAACTAAGACTGAATTAAATATATAAAACTAATCAAAAGGACACAAAATAACAAATGTCTTTCCATAATTGCTTTCATTGTAAATGGTCTTAACTGTTCAATTAAAAGATATAAACTTGGGGCTGGGGATGTGGCTCAAGTGGTAGCGTGCTCGCCTGGCATGCGTGCGGCCTGGGTTCAATCCTCAGCACCACATACAAACAAAGATGTTGTGTCCGCCAAAAACTAAAAAATAAATATTAAAATTCTCTCTCTCTCTCTCTCTCTCTCTGTCTCTCTCTCTCTCTCTCTTTAAAAAAAAGATATAAAGTTGGCAGAATGGATTAAAAACAAGACCCAAATATGTGCTGTTTATAAGAGACTCATCTTATAGGCAAAGACAACTACAGCCTGAAAGTAAAAGAATGGAAAAAGATTTTCCTTGCAAATGGAGTCTGAAAGCAAACAGAAGTAGTTAAAGAAGACTCAAGGAAAAATAAATCAGAAGACATATGGAAGGTCATGACATATTGATAAAGGGAAAAATTCCCAAGAAAAATAGAATATTTTTGCCCAAATATTGGTTCACCTAATTGTATAAAACAAATACTTTTTGATATTAAGTCTCAGGCAGACAATACAACAATATTGGGTGATTTCTACATAATTTTCTCACTAAGAGACAGGTCATCCAGATGTAAAATCAATAAAGACACTTATGACCTAAGTATAACTATAATTCAAAAGAACCATAATCAATAGCTAAAGAATATTTCATCTAATGACAGCTGAATTCACTTTCTCTTCAGCATTTCATGGAAATGCTTAATATGGCCTTTTCTCCAAAATAGCCATATTTTAGGTCATAAAGCAAGTTTCAGCAAATAAAAAAATCCTTATAATCCTTTGAATTTTATCAGATCACAAGGGAATGAAATTAGAAACCAACAGTAAGAAAAATTAT